GATATGAGAGGAGACTTAAGCATAGCGATAAAATTTTTAAATGCCGTAACTTTACTAACATGGGTATCCAAGGAATGCCACAAAGCATGGTCAAGCACCATATGCATCCATCGACTTCCTGCATTAATAAAAATTACATTTTAAAATATTGCATTCTACCTTTCAGTTACACCACTGAAGTCCATTCCGAAATTATTTTCATTACTGTCGTTGTTACGTGGAAATATTCCAGCACATTTCTTAACATCAGTATCGTTCAATCCAGCAAAATGTACCTGATTATATTATACATAATTTTAAATATGGTAATAATGAAAACAATAAAATATAATATTACTAAAATAACGATGAATTAAATAAACTTACGGTTACTTTCACGCCAGGACCGTTAATACGTGGCATTTCAACCCAATATAAAGAGTTAAAATCTCCGATGCAAGAGTTCTGAAGAGTGATGTCATATGTTGAAGATAATTTTTTCTGTAATGGTATGAAGAACAGACCACCCCATTGTCCCTGAATAATTAAATCATTGATTATATTGAAATATCACATGTCTTTATCCAATTAATGTCATAATAGGTATAGCAGTGATCTTACATGATCCAACACATTGAACGCCAAATCCAAATTGGGCAGTTGATCTAAGTTTTGATTTTCGGAAATTCTATTGTTTATCATAATCACAAAGATTTGATTGCGATCCTTTCGCCATTGCTGAACAAGATTTTTCAGTCCATCTATAGGCGGATAAGATGTAATAATAAGGAGCTTGTGTCTTTGTGGTAATGCTGCTTGAGTAGAAGATAATAGATCAAGATCAGAAGAAGAGCGCACTGTATAGGTACTCGTAGCGACTGCATTAGATGTAGGTCTCCAGCGTACCAGTTCAAGCCTCTCGTCTTTCGTATTCTGTGCACTTACAATACGATAAAGTGCTGACGGTCTATTAAATAAATCCTTTGCATAATTCTCTTTGTTTAAGATGAAAGTGTCTCGACAAAGTACGCGGTACAGAGTTTGACATAACTGGCAACAAATTAAAACAAAACTAAATATAGTTTGTCTAATATGAATATTTTAAAATAACCAACTATGAAAATTTTAGTGATTAATTTATATTTAATTTAAATAATTTTGAAGTTATTTAACCTAATTCTTGAGACGTTCTTAAAATCTAAATTTACTTATTGCATAGTTGAGTAAGAATCAGGCTATACATATTTAATGTGGCTTATCAACAAAAAAATGTGGACAAATTAACAAAATCGTGCCTTTATAAGGAAGGAAATGAAACTAATCAATTTAGAAGGAAAAATTTTGTAAATACTTTCTTAATTAGTATAACATAATCCTCTTACCTTATCATCTTTTGATAAATTTGTAACTAGCATTAAATCGACATCTGTTAAAAAGTTGGCTCGTTCGTCTAAAACATTATTTTTATAAATCATTTTGTGTTGGACCTCTATAAAAGGTACGTTTTTAAATACATCATTAAGATTCCGAAAATGAACTTCGTTACTTTTCTGATCACACAACTCTAGTATACTAATAACATTCTTATTCAAATTTTCTGCAACGATTTGCAAATATACCAACATGGCTGTTTCGAACTGAAATAAATATTTCTTGTTAAAACTTTTAAATAGGAAAATAATCTTAAAAATTTGCTATTATACTTACATCAGTTCTGTCTTGTTGGAAGTATGGGACAAATTTCAAAGTCATCAAATCTGTTTCCTTTTCTAATGGCGCTAAATTGCGGAATTTAACATCCTCTATTGCGACACCTCCGCATCTGTAAGTACATGAATTTGGGTATTTCAAATAAAAATTTGTAATTCAAATTATAAACTTCTCTGTGGAAACAACACATTGTAATGTATAATAATACATTATACTCAAAAAATTGTTATATCAGTTTAGGTTTTACCATGATTAATATAAAAAGCACAAATTTTATTAACCTCGATCATCTAGTAATCTAATTTATGTTAGTGAGAGAATAATTTTTTTCACAATGATATTCTGCATATTTGCTACGATTTTTTTCTAAAACTCAGCTAACTTTACAATTTATACAATATACAACTACTATCATAATAATATTTTTAGTTAATCTTGATGTTTATTTAGTTTACATATTTAATGACACTAAACTTTCCCCGTCACCACATGAAAAATAACTATTGACATAATATACTTACCTGATGATATTATATGTCTCAAAAACATTAGCAGTCATGACTCTTTCATCGCCCACTGATATTTGTTTATTATTGAAGTGTCTTTTGATATCAATTTTAATATTTCTAATGTTTGTTGGTTGAGATACAGAGTGATGAGGTCGCTTCAGAGCATTTAATTGCAGCATACCATCAAGGAATGTTACCCAGTTGTTTCGCCAGTATATTTTCGCTTCCGTAAGAGATTTATTAGCGCTGTGAATGCTTTTGAACTGGCCGCTAAAATTAAAAACATTTTTATTTCGTTTCACTTCAATAATATCATATGTACTCAATAAAATAAAGAAAATGAATGCCTTTTCTGCCCCAAGTTAAATCACCTACGTGATTTCTATATGCAATTAAAAAAACATAAGTATTATAATTTAATTACAGTGTTTGTGTTTTTTTTTTTTCATCTACCGTGTGGGATGTAATGGTAAAATAATTGACCGAATAGCTAATTATCATCAAAAGCACGAATATAAATGTCATCATCATCATCATTACATTACACAGCCTTAAACAAGTCCACTGCTAAACACAAAGTTCTACTAAGGAATGACACAAAGCATCTATTACCAGATCGTCAAGTCAAGTTAAGTGTGAGAAGATGAATTTCTGCATTTCATTTTACATCCTAAAAAAGACATGAAACTTCAAACCATGTATATGTCAAACTTACCTATAATCGTAATCTCTGTTGTGTAGCAATTGATAAATGTCGTCCGATTTTAAATTAAGTTCTTCATTTGAAGTAAATTTTAGCAAAAATGGTTTGTTATCAACCACATTCCCCGTGATGTAACCCGTTGCCATCTTAGAATAATCGTCCGTGACCTGTTTAGAACCATCAACAGCTATTAAGACCGATTTACACTTCGACAAGTACAGTAAGTACGTGTCGAAGTGTAAGTGTAAGTTACCTGGCGAGAAAAGTAGAAAATTTCGTTTGAACTGTAATTAGTAAGTTATGTAGCAAGTTAATTAAGTTGAAAGCGCTAGCTGGTCGGTCTATATTTTGGCGAGTTAAGTTCGAAATTTTTCCCTCCCGCTCGCCACCCACCACCCGCAACTAAACTCGCCGCTAGTGTGAACGAGCTTTGTTCAGTCATAAGTTGACAGGACGCAATGTGATCGCTTTCGACTTTCAAAATGTAAAATTGTACTTTTTTGAAATTATGTATTTACATACATACATAAACACTCACGCCTATCACCCAGAGGGGTAGGCAGAGACTACAGACTTCCATTTGGCACGATCCTGACACACCTCTCTCGCCTCCTTCACATCCATACACCTACGCATACATGCTCGTCGGTTAAGTGTACTCCTAATTTTGCCCGTTTTCAATAAATCGCCAATTTGGTCGATACATTTTCGCCTAGGACGACCCTTTCCGACTCTGCCATTCACTTCTGCAACATAAATTTTCTTTGTCACTCTTTCCTCATTCATTCTTTCCACATGACCAAACCACCGAAGCATTCCTTTCTTAATCCTGGTCACAACATCATCTTGCAAACCACACTCTTCTCTTATTACACAATTTCTTACCCTGTCGTTCAGATTCAGCCCTAACATATTCCTTAACGACCGCGTTTCTACTGCTGATTTTGAGATTGTTGATTCTACTCTCGTGCTTCTTCTGCCACACCCAACTTTCACTACCATACGTTAAAGTAGGGACCAACACAGCATTGTGAATAGCCATACGTGCCTTTTTTGACACATTTTTACTCTTCACAATAGAGTGCAGGGCCCCATTTACTGTATTTCCCGCATTCACTCGTCGTTCTATATCCTTATCATATCTCCCATCCCTGCTAAATACGCAGCCCAAATATACAAACTCATCTACTTGCTCGATCAACTCCCCTTCTATTCTTATTTCGCAAATCGTTTTACTTTCTTCTCTTTCAAAAACCATAACCTTCGTCTTACTTGCGTTCACTTTCATACCCCTTTCTTTTAATGATCTGTTCATTAATGTAACCATCATTTGCAACTCGGCCGCCGACGACGCAAGAATAACTTGATCATCGGCGTACAAAAGGAATTTGACGGCTAACTCACCCATTCTTAATCCGCATTCATCAACTTTCAAATTTTGCAAACAACTGTCCATAAATAGGCTGAACAGCCACGGGGAAGCCACACAGCCCTGTCTGACACCTTTATGGATGTCAAACCAGTGCGAGTAGACCCCGTTGATCCTAACACAAGCACTAGAGTCCCTATAAAGAGACTCCTATGCCTGTATCAAGCCAGCGCTCAACCCAAATGAGTTCAGTGTTTGCCATAGCACATCCCTATCCACTCTGTCATAGGCCTTTTCCAAGTCCATGAACGTACAAAAAATCTTTTGGTTTTTGGCCAAAAACTTCTCCGCGATCATGCGCATGGAAAAGACTTGATCTGTACATCCCATTCCCTTTTTAAATCCCGCTTGCACATCCCAAATTTTTCCTTCAGTTTCTTTCATGACCCTTTCAATCAGTACCTTAGCATACAGTTTTCCCACAATGCTGAGAAGGCTGATGCCACGGTAGTTTTTACAGTCCTGCTGCGACCCTTTTCCTTTGTATACTGGGACTATCACGGCTTTGCACCAGTCTACCGGTACCCGCTTCAGTTCCCAGCATAAATTAAACAAGGTGTGCAGCAGGCCTGCTACAACTTCCTCTCCAGCCCTTAGCATTTCGAGTGAAACTCTATCAAATCCGGCAGCCTTACCTGCTTTCATGCTTTTCATTGCTTTCACTATTTCATCTATACTTATCTTGCTACCTCTTTCCTCTTCTTTCGGAGTTTCTACTTCACTTAGTACACACGTTGTCTCCTCACTCATAAACACGCTTTCAAAATATTCCTTCCATCTCTTTAAACTCAAAACTTCATCATTCAGAATATAGCCATTCTCGTCTCTTATAGCATTCATTATAGGCTGTTTTGAATGTCCCCTGGCAGTTCTTACCATTTTCCAGAACATTTTAATATTTGCCTGGAAGTTATCCGATATTCTTCTATCATTCTTATCCGTTCTTTCTTGTTTTTTTCTTTCAACTACTTCTTTTACTCTCTTATTAAGATGTCTAAAGACTGCCTTTTTTCTTTCAATATCATCATTCGTACCGCTAGAATTACCAGCCTTTGTTGCTAGTAAATCTAGCCATGCTCTCTTCTTTGCTTCAACTGCCATACGTATCTCATCATCCCACCGTAACGTATTATTTTTCCTTTCATTCTTTCTCTTACTAACACCACATACTTCGGTAGCTGCATCCACTAAACCTTTCTTTACGTTTTGCCATACATTCTCCAAGTCTAACTCCTTCATACATAATTCATCCAAACCACTTATATTTTCTTTCAGTCTACATTTGAACTTGTTTTTCTCACCTTCATCTTGTAACCTTTCTATTCTAATACGCTGTAACGCAGTGGTAGACACAGATGATCGATGGCGCCAACGCCTGAGTAGACCATTAATTCGGCATAAAACCAAATAATGATCCGTTCCTACGTTAGAACCCCGATAAACCCATGTATCTACCACTGCGCCCCTCAATCTTTCATCCACAATTATGAAATCTATCATGCTTCTATCGTCACCTCTTTCCCAAGTATACATGTGAATCCTCTTGTGGCAAAAGCAAGTGTTCGTCACAAAAAGATTCTTTTCCATACATACGGTGAGGAGACTTTCACCATTCTCATTTATACTTTCATCACCAAACGTTCCCAATATCCTTTCATAACCAAGCCTCCTCACCCCAACCCTTCCATTAAAATCTCCTAGCATAATAATATTTTCATTTTCCTTACACTTCATTAACAACCATCCTTACCATTTCCCAAAACTGCTCTCGGATATAAGTGGCCTTAGACATATCTGGGGCGTAGACCCCTTACACAAACAACTTCTTTAAGCCCACTTTCATTCGTATCCATAGCAGTCTTGGGCTTACACATTCATACTCTTTCACACATTGGCCCATTCTTTCTGAAAGGATGATACCTACTCCCTAGCATGCCCGATGGATCTCGTCTACACCAGACCAGTATGCATTATACGTGCCATGTGTAGTGACATCCTTCCCCTTCCTTTTCGTCTCATTTACACATAACACATCTATTCCTCTATCATACATCATATAGCATACTTCATCCATTTTATCATTCATTGCTCCACATACATTCAACGTAGCCAGACGGGCCTCTGCAATCCACTTTTCACCTCTATTATTATTTCTTATTATAATAACCCGTTTTATAAAAAAAATTGTATAAAAAGGGTTATTATAATACTAAATAATTTATGTATTCTTGGTTTAAACTATGATTTGAAAAGAGTCCTTCTAAATAAGGAAGTCATTTAGCCGCTGCACCAAATTTGACATTTGTTTTCAAACCACAAAGTTTACATTTTATGCATGTATTTCCTCGGGATTTCTTTCGTGAAACAGATTATAGTTTAAACCTGCAAGTATTCATGATGTCCTCCAGACCAAATTTCATTCATGGTGGCCGTACGTCAACGTAAACTTGCCGTCTGCGCAGCACAGAATTACAGTGACCAAGTGGAATGTGCAAGCACAAGCACACTCTATATTTCTTGAACGGAGAGAGATAAAGCGCAGGCCCTACGGCTTTACGTGCTTTTCGAAGCACGAGAGTGAAACACCGTCAACTTCCCTGGCTCCGAGCTGCTACTGAGAATCTCTTGGCAGAAAAACCCAATAACTAACGTTGGCCTTTCCTGAGAATTGAACCCATGGCCTCATGATCAGCAACCGTGATTACGACCACTGGGCCAACGGGGCAGTCAAGCAAATAATCAAAAATTATTTGTAATAAAACTGAAATATTTAATAAGTTCTCACCTCGAAATACCCGGTACCTCTTAGAAAAGATACCAAAAGTCGTAACTGACGTTGATAATGCAGATTAGGCTGGGAATAAAGTTTCACATCATGGTATTGAACTGACAATTGTTTTTTGGGCACCCCGATAGTCATCGCCAGTACATCCCAAACTGCAATTAATGCAGCTGCGAACGGGAATGTATTCTTTCCTATTAGGATTAAAATATGAATTTTAAACTTTGTCAACTAATATAAATTTTAAAGCAAGGCATAGATCACACAATAAACATTAATTATAAAATACCCATTAATCATGCACCGACCAAATCGACGAGTACCGTAATAACTAATAGCCTATAGATAACCGCAACCAACTTCAAGCAAATACGGCTAAGATGAAATATCTCACATCCTGTAATTATGCGGCATATAATACAGCAGCACACGCACTAGTATGTGGTGGCAGAAATAGGAAAGAGGGAGGCACCTACTCAGACATACTCGTAGGCAGTAAAGTAGTCTTTACACCAAGATACAGACATAGTTATTTGCCTTTTCTCTATTGGTTCTGCGTAGCGACATGAAATTTATTGTTGTAATACGTACTGTTATGAGGTGTTCCTGGTTTGAAAGGTATTGAGCACATGTGTTACAGAATGTTGGCCATTTATTTCAGTTTTCAGAAGGAACAATGTGTAGTGTTCTTTATTTGAAGTTAGTTGTAGGAGTCAGTGGGTTGCAGGAGTCACTTGCAATCAGGTGAACTTCAAACTTGTTTGTTATTCTAAAATATTTGTAGACCTTCATTTACGAAGTAGGGGAGGTGTAAAAATATCGTCTACCATATATTATCGGCAGAGGGAAAGAAACCAGGAAATAGGCAACAGGTTCTTTCTAATAACAAATAGAAAATGAAAAATCATATCATATCAATACAGTAGCCAGCATCCTCCTGCCAAGCGTGTCAACTGTGACAAATATCCCCCTCATGTGACCATCTAAAAGGAGGCCAATGTTCAGCAGTGAATTTTTATAGGCTGTAACATTCTTAAACTTACTTTTGACTATTTTATTATTCTAAAATATTATTTTACTAATGATGCCAAAAAATAGTTTTTTTATACCTCGTAAAACGTTTCCAGTCAAATAGTTATTTTCTACATCATGTATCGAATAGATGAATTTACACGATGCTGTAAATTTTCGATTTGCTGACACGTAGAGTGGTAAACTCCTACGAATAAAGACGTTTTGTGAAAATAATAAGCATGTTATATTTATGCATGATATATATATTATATTAGGTATTATATTATATTACACGTTATATTATTTTTAGCACCGATAGCTCAAGAGCTAAGCACTTCCCATAAATATCACAGTACGCAAGCAAACTGAGTTGAAACATCGCGAGCACCAATGAAATTGATGCAATTTTAAGTGCTGAACTACAGTCCGCGAGGCCTAAGCAGAGCTGTGCAATTGTGTGAGTGCACATAGATAGTGTTGGTGTGTCGTCTGCCTGTAGCCTGACACGTACTTTGCTTGGTTTAAACCGGTTTATACTGCTTTTTCGCAAACGGCCTGAGGCACGGTGCGTCCTTCATGCGACGCAACTCCGCCGCGCACCTTCCTCTTGCACTGGCAGTAGCGTGACGTCTTAATTTTTTAATATTTGGTTTTTGTGTTCGATTTATTCGTGAAATGGCTGCCAACACAAATAATCGAAAAATACGAAAACCTTTAAATAGTCAATTAAAAGAAATGTTGTGTAGTTTAGATAGTTAATTTAAAGACAAAAACGATAAAAATATTTCAAGTGGCACTACATCAGCCCATTTGCTAGCCACCTCGACGGGAATCCGTTTGTCCACTGTCAAAACAGTTTTATTGGAAGGTAAACCGCTTTTGGAAGACGGAAGCAAATTTTAATCTCAGAAAAAGACCAGATGCAGGAAACATACGAGTATCACTATCATTGACGATTTTGATAAAGCGGCAATATGAAGAACTATAAAAAAACTTTCAGATTAGTGATAAAGAAGTGCCAATTTTAAAGCGAATACATGAAAAATTAAATATATATGTATAGTTGAATAAGCTATCCCGGTTCAATTCGATCATTGCGTAAAGAATTGTCTCTTTTAGGACTTAAATGGAAAAGGACACAAAATAATAGAAAAATTCTAATGGTAAAACATTATACATGTTGTATACGTATAATTTTTTTTATTAAAATTTTCGAATATCGAATTCAGGGCCGGCCAGTCGTTTATACTGGCGAAATGTTTATAAACACGACTCACACTTCTTCAAAATTTTGTTCAGATGGCAGCATTTCTGGTTTGAAGAAACCAATTTCTAAAGGAAATAGATTAATAATAGTTCATGCTTGCGTAGAAGATGGTTTCATACCAAATGCACTGCTGATGATTAAAGCAAATCAAAAAAGTGGTGATTACCATAACAATATGAAGGCAAAAAACTACACGAAATGGTTATAAACGTAATTAATTCCATATTTGAAGATCAATAGCGTTGTGGTGCTAGACAATGCATCTTACCACAATTTGTTAGAAAATTCCGCTCCCAACTCAAATAGTCGTAAATAAGATATGATTAACTGGGTCAAGTATCGCATTATTGATCACTCTACATTGACGCTTAAACCACAACTCTATTAATCGATACTGCAATAGAAATAAATATTTATTGAATATAAAATTGACACTTCACTTAGATAACATGATCCTTCTCACAGCGTCCTTCGTCTACCACCCTACTACCCGGATTTCAACCCAATTGAAAATATATGAGCAATGATAAAAGGGTACGTGGCGAAAAATATGGACACAATAATGTGATTAACGAAAGGAAAAGTTGACACTAACACTGTACAAGAATGCAAAAATGTATTTGACCAAGGAATAAGAGAAGAAAAATGTTTCATGGTTACGACGCTGTTCTTGATGATATGATGGAACGATTTGTTATATTAATAATTTGTTATATACAACGTCAGACGAGAGTGAAAATTAAGACGAGAGTGATAACGAAAATGATGAAGATGCAATGTCCAGTATATAAGAATTGTTATAACTTTTTATATTGATAATTTCATTTATTGATCTCGGACTTCTCAGTCTACCACTTTTTTTGTCTGACACTACTTTTGGTGAATACTCACATAAATGCAGAGCTCAGCTTATGCGTCGCGAACTCTACCAAGTGGTCGGCGGTAAAAGAAAATTTAAAAATTCCGCCAAAATGCATTTAAGTAGCGCGGTGAACTAATGCTCCATCAACATCTCGGAAATGAAAGGAGGTTTTGCCCGGAACTACATAATTACATAATATTAAACATAAGATAAAGGTCGTAAAACTTACCACTTTTCATGATGAGCCCATTCCACCAGATGAGATAACAATGGAGTTCCAGTTGATACAGGAAATTCGATCTTAGGATAAAGTGCTTGCACTTTAGGATTGTATCCTTCCATGAATAATCTGAAGGAAAACGAGTTTATTTTAATAACGCTTTTTTTTTAAGTAAAGTAATTTTTCTAAATAAGAAGCTTCTAAATATCATTTTATTTGTTTATATTTATCCTATAAATACATAACTATGATCATATATAATTATTATTATTACGTTTTGCGTCATACGTCCCGTAGGTATCGTAAGAGGCGACAGAGGAAAACTGATACAGTAGATGGGCAGCAGCATTTTTCTGATAACAATATTAAATAGTAAAAAGCTGCGGTTGCATATCCGCCTGTCAAGCGTGGCAAATAGGGCAAATATATCCCACTCACAAAACAATATATGGGAGAGGTGGAGGTTTAGAAGTGGCATTTTGATTAACCCTTCAAGCGCCATAAAAATCCCATGCAGTCGCATGCGCCTGGCATATCCCGAGCGGTCGCATGCGACCGCACCCACCCACAGCACTTCAAACGATTAAAACTTATATTTAGAGACTACTTTTCTATGAAGAAGTTTAGCGTTATAAAATCTATACAAAATTCTCTATCTTGTTGTCTTAACAAAAGTCGGGTTTTACTTCATTACAAAAAGATTTTATTGTATTTAATAACAAAAAAATATACCAAGCGAATGTCGGCAGCGTAAAAATCACAATTATTTCAATATATATTACTCGAAATTATTTACGTAAAAAGATTAATTATATTCATACAAAAACTTTCATTACAATTTTATAATAAAACACTATACAAAAACACTAATAAAACACTAGAAAAATCCAAAAATCAACACAATAATATTTACGTAAAAATGGCGTATGAAATGAACGTAGATTATAAATAAATATTAATAGGATAACAGTTTTTTTTTTTATTTCACTAGAGGATAGAGTATTTCATATTGATTATATAGTGCCATTATGACTGCCTCGTTGCTTCACTAATTGTAGCAGTGCCACTACTGATCATGAGGTCCTGGGTTCGAATCCCAGGTCGCGCCAACAATATCAATTATTGAGTTTTTCCGTCAAGAAATTCTCAGTAGCTGCCCGAAGTCAGAAAGTTGGCGGGGTCTTACCCCCGTGCCTCAGAAAGCACGTAAAGCTGTTGGTTCTGCCCCTGATCTCTCTCCGGTCGTGTCGGTTTACTGTCCCATCGGATTATGAGAGTGAGGGAATAGTGCACTCTGCACCTGTATACATACACTTGGGCACTACAATCCTGTCTTGCACCGATGACTATCCTCCGTTGAGGCAGGCCGCCGTGGCCGAAATTCGGTCTGGAGGACATTATTATTATAGTGCCCAACTTTTTCATAGAAAAGTAGCCTCTATATATATTTTTATGGGTGCTTTAAAGTGCTGTGGGTGGGTGCGACCTCATGAGACCGCTAGGGATTTGACGGAATATGGCCGCGGTCTCATGAGACCACTAGGTGTTTGAGAGTTTAATGTAATAAATGGATATTTTTTTTTATAATGATGCCCATATCTATTCATCTTAAAAGTTGAATAGACATGGGCAAATTTTTCACTTGTTGCACATAACAATGTTCCATATTTCAAGGGTATTTTAAATTACAACACTTGTGAGTACTAACTTTCCAATAGCTTCTAATAAGTATTGCACGTTATCAGTATGTCCCCGACGAGTAAGTGGAATGTGTCGACAAGTGTCTGCTAAAGACCGCTTCAGAATCGCTTGAAGTAAACCATGTGGTGCTATTTCTACAAGCACCGCATCGTGTGGTATCAATCTAGAAGTTTCTTCAAACAGCACGGAATTCTACAAAAAGAAAAATAAATTGTGAAACGTTACTAAACGTGGAACTGCAGCTTATTACGGCTGCAGCATGAATGGGTTGCCTCAATTGAGGAAGGATCACGCTAGCACAGAATACCAGCCTAAAATAGCAGCATAACGCTGGTATAACTTAAATTCTCCTGCTGTAACCGACGAGGTATTATGTTTTACTTCTCAGAAGTGCATTGACCACTTGGACTGTGTGTTCGTTTGTCACCAGGAATACCACAAAAAATATTGACTTACCTGATCACATTTGTATATGCACATTGTTTAAAATATTTTTATTTCAAAATGAATTGGGATCTATAAATTGGCCTACGCCCTACTATCTCTCTTTCTCCCTTTTTCTCTATTTAGTTTACATTTTTGAATAAATTATAGTATCCAACCACAGTCCTACTCTCTCAAATTAATTTGCAACCAAAGAACTTACAAGCAGATTGTTAGTGTGATATTCTGCAGAAGAATATTTAGCCATGGGTTCATTCCATTTTTCTTGCGGCACTGAAGTCGATACCCATTTTTCGCTACGGAGCTTAGGCAATTTGATGACTTCACTTAAATATTTCAGCAGTCCAGGGCCTATAAATCAAAATAAAATAAATATAATAATTTGAAAATAAAATATTAATCAAATTACTCAAGATAAAATAAATGATACATCAATATAATATTTATAAAATAGACTAATAATACAATGTGATCAATGCTCTATTTAAAAAAAGCCATCTGGAGGACAAAAGTATGTGACCAAGCACATATGTACTTTTAATTTCCTCAGTCTCATACTCGTAGTCCGAATGAAAGGCACTCTGACACGACTGCAGAGAAATCTAGAGCAGAGTTATCGGCTTTACTTGCTATCCGAGACTTTGAACCAGGGATTCCGTGAAGTACGATGATTCAAATCTAAATCGTACGACGTTACGACCAATAGACTAATGAGCCAGTCAAGCAACAGACTATAGTAAAGTGTCGACATTTAGAACCTCAATGGTGCGAATTCAATATTCACTACTGTTATACACACAGATTTTAGAAAGACTTATTACACGATGTCACAGTTAGAAACAATCAAAAAGTTATTTTAAAATCTTGTTTTTCATAACTTTAACCATAAAACAACGATGTTGTTATAGTATTCGCTAAATATCCGACATAAATATATGTATAAATAAAGTCATATTTCTTTGGACATTCCTTGCAAAATACAGGTATAGGTACAGTTACAAGTAGTTCAATATAGGTATCTGAAATATCAAATTTTAAAAAACAAGAAAATAATGAAAATATAGGCTAATCATTGCCTATATCATATTGTCTAATAGTGTTTTTCTTAAATAAAATTATCACCTTTAACAAAAATTAAAAAGCGATTGCAATTTTTTAAAGAAGCTATTTATTTGCTACCCTCATGGATAGTTCTCCAAATTTATATCAGCCACCCCTAATATCTAATCTATTTAATAAAAAAAAGAATCAAAATTGGTTCACAATATGCGAAGGTATAGCGTAACATAGATACAATAACATACACATACATATAATCGAATTGAGTACTTCCTCCTTTTTGAAGTCGGTTAAAAATCACCGAAATTCTGAAAATACCATATAATAACAAAAGCTTACTTAAGTAATTCACTTAAACTCACCCGCGTCTGCAATGTACCGTGAATGATAAGCAATATTTGAACATGGGACCTCCTTTGCAAATATCTTTTTAGCAGTTAATTGAGCTACGAATTCCCTCATTACATTTGCGGGGCCTGAAATTGTACTGGAATCTGGTCCATTATGGCATGCAACTTCAATACCAGGAGGGCACATCTTCGATATCTATAAGATAAATAACTGTATTGGCAACACGGAAACATAATTATAGAGTGAGGAAGATACATGGTAGGGCTACTGTGTAATGAATTATGACTGTAGCCCGAATTACTTGGCTTTACGGAGGAAAGCACGTTAGCACAGTATGCTAACGTAAAATATCAGTACGGCGATGTGTTTCGTATGGTGATTGACTAATACTGAAGATTATTTTAATTATTTACTAAACAAGGGGCATTAAACGAGAACGTTACGCACTGTTAATAGATTTGCTAAAGATATTGACCTTCTATATTGCACCTTGCGTGAGTTCACTATAGTAGGATTGTTTATAATTTGTTATTATTAAGAACCACACTTTTGTTATATACCGTCATATTAGGTAATTGTTAAACTGTTATGTTAGTTGTAAGTTTCAATAAATACATAGATAAAAAATCTGTATTACCATTCATAATAGAAGATAGTATAGGCGTCCCAGGGCAACAGCAACCACTCACTACCAGATAGACTATGCATTTAATTATCACCCTATACATTTACAAAATATGTTTCATACAAAAACCAGTATACAATATAAATGTTCTTAGTGTCAATAAACCTCCTATCTTCAGGTCAGGAAATCTCGCTGACAAAATGGTAGGAATCCTTTATGTGTGCTCTTGTATGTCCCCTGAGCGGTGAGAGTATTTTCGCTAAGTGTTGAGCCAATCTGTAAGCTGGTGAATCGATTTGGCTCACTATGGGACGTAATGGAGCATTGGGCTTGTGTATTTTTGGTAACCCACACAACTTTGGTGATTTGGCGCACGTAGGTATTATCCATTTTACGTCCAGATTTAATTTTTCGGAGTATCCATGACTACATCAGATTATAATTCTAAAATACAAGAACTTTTGTCGGATGTAAGCACTTATAAAAAGGTTAAAAACGACCCAACAAATAGCACACTAAAAACAACTAGTGACATCGTAAAGAAACAATCCGAAAAATTAAATCTGAACGTAACAAAAGTTAAATTTTTATCTATGGTAACCGCTGTTAACTATGACATTTGGAGGTTGAACATCTCAGTCCTCCCCGTGACCATGGGTGCTGTAAAGCGCTCGAAACGTCGGGTATTTATAGTTAAATATACGCGATAAAATCCGTAAAAACTAGTATTATTTCAATATTGCCAAGTTTTTAGTTACATTATCCTGTTTTTAATAGAGTAAATTTCCTGTAACCGCTTTGTTTATAGGCGAATTATTAAATACGCTAGAAAGTTCCGATATGTTAGATAGATACCGGTGTAATATTTTAGATAGAGCTATTTCGAAGTGGTTATTATCACATCACTCACATACCAAAAGATTTTTATCATACTTTGTAAACTTTGAACCACAAAAAGTTGGAAAACTGCTTCATACACGCTTTTTTTAACTGTTTTTATAGAAGTGAAGGCAAACGAGCATGCGACTTACTGGACCAAGTGGTTACCACCATCTATGATCAATCTCATCACCAGAGGAATAGGATCTTGGGCGGCCCTTTAGAAAGGAGTAAACTCTTTTCTTAAAGGTCCCTAAGTCATATCAGTGCGGAAAAATCACCGGTGGTAAGAGATTCCACCCAGAGGTTGGAGAGGAGAAGAGAACTCCCAGTAAAATGCACAGTGATGGACCGCCAAGCATCCATATGGATGGATGGTATCGTGAGTTTTGTCGCAACGTGTGTTCGTGAAATTCGGTGGCTGAAATTAAACCGAACCATTCCTCAGAGCACTCCCCATGGGAGAAATTAAAATATAAAAACTAAAAAAACATTAATAGTAAATGCAAAGGGTTGCAACAATCCTTCAAACTTGTTTATTGATACACAAACGTGAATTACTAATTTTTTGTACCTCTTGATATCCAATGCCAACTGCTGCCATGGAACCACGAATAAATGGAGTTTGCACTGACACAAGACCACGATAGTAAGCAGCAAGTATCATCTCTTCTGCAGTGAAACATCCATCTGCGTACGCACATCCTAATTCACCAACACTGTGACCTAAAATAGAAGTTAAGCAAATTCAAATTAGTAATTATATTAAATGCATAGCAAATAAAGACGTTTCTTTCCCTGTAAGTTTGCACTTTTTTTATAATTTATAAACGTTGCATATCAATGAAAGTAAGACATTTTGTTGAAATAATCTTAAACGGTACTCGATTATTTGAGTCATAGTACAAATAGGAATCATAGTATCCACCAACAAATAAAGATAGATGGAGCTCTACATACAAGCTTGTGATTCTGAAACAATATTCAACTTCTTGACACGCACTAATGCGCATATCTTTCTTTTTTTTTCTTTCTTTATTAAGCAGTGAAAATTTACTGCTGGCTACATAAATATGCCTTAAACTATGTTGTTGGTTCTGAATGATTCTAGATTGCGTCACTTGATACGTACGCAGCTCTCCGTTTATCTTTATGTGTTAGTCTGACAACAATATGAGTCATTCAACCAGCTTGTAATATTTTACCGATTATTTTATCTGGCACTAATCCCAGCTCACAAAGGATGTCAGTAAGTCCAATTTGAATGGCCGCTATTCCGACGAAAGAGTTTAGAATGTTGTCGAAAGTAGATTTTTCGGGTGAAGTGATAATATGTACAATGTCAACGCCTTTTGGCTCTAAAACTCGACGGCATCTAGGAATCAAAAAATTATTCAAAGGTCATCTTCATAAACATTGATAACAATAATGATTACTTACGAGTATATTTACGCGAACATTACACATTTAAGTTATAATTTAAATTGATAATAATAATTAAAATACAATATCGAGAACATTAATTGTATTTATATTAATGTCAAAAGTTAATTTAACCGTTCAATAGCAGCAGCAAATATTGGAATACGCATTAGTTTGTCGCCCATGCCAGCCCACTGTGATCCCATTCCACTGTAAACGAACCACAGAGGTCTTTTTGCATTGTCAAAATAATCCACTTTTTCACATAGGCTAACTGTCTGCTGGTCTGCATTGGTATCTGTAAAATAATAAATTCGATCAAATTTTATATTTCTGTACGCTTAATTACCTTTATGTTTACGATATTTTTAGTAATCTTGGCATTACGAACGAAAGTTGATACGTCATTATATAACAACTGGATGCGGCTTGAAAATCTTCACTTCTTGAAATGTTCATGTGTTCTTAAGATATTTTTAATTTCTCAGATATACGGTTTTATAAACTCACACTATATTCTTTATTCCATACACGTCGTAAATTAGCACTTAAAAATGCAATTGGTAATTTTATTGTCACCATCGGAGTTGAATTCGGGCTGCTCATGTACTGTGAAATTTACTAACATACATTTGCCATACCCGATGGTATACGTAAGTGGCCACCAAAGCCGCAAATAAACATCCTACACAAGGAAATTGCAGCTTAGTCTTTTAGAAAAAACAAAACTATAGACTTGGATCGGATACTTTTCTCTAGCCATTTGATTCATGAGTTGCAGTAGCTGAGACATTAGGCGGACTATTAATTCGCTTTTCACTTCAATTTAATTTTAAAACAAAGATGGTTATCCCGCCAATTCTCGACTTTCTGATATAATAAAATCACTTATCATGCAATTATATTTGAATTTAAATGTAGATAGGCTAAAATTATATAGATAAACACACCTAATATAGTAAATCCCCTGCCCATATGAGCAGAAATTTTTAACTGATGAATGTTGTGCAATAACGCAAGCTCTTCGGGATCGATGGGTCGGGATTTTAAATCGTCTAGAATTTTCTTAACCGATGAATCTTGTCGCGCAGAAATTGTAACTAAGTGCGGTATGTTAGACTTGTATCGAGATAAATCCTGTAGAGAAAATGAAGGTCTTATAATCTGTGTAATATTATTAAATAAAATTATTCTAATTTTAATTACAGGAGGCGGTATGGGAGTGGACATTCTTCTTATAACTCATATCTTTCCGTGGTGTCATAAGAAGCGTCAGGGTGAAAAAAACGAAGAGATGTTGAACAACAGCATCTTCCTCAAAACAACTAATATCAAAATTAAGAAACTGCGTTTGCCAATCAACCATTGGCAAAGGTCAAGCGTAGCAATGCTGGCAAATATTCCTCCAATCAGGAAATTTACGGGGTGGGTTATGTCAAGCAGTGAATTTTTGAGAAGCAGTGAATAATTAGAGTTTAATAAATGTTTGTAATGAAAAGACACTGTGCCAGCTCCTTTTTTGTAGACTTTTGAATAACAAGACTAAAATATACTGGACGTAGGCCTTTCTCACGGGCAACATTTACTATAATCGACGCGCTTGGTGAACTGATTGCTGATCACAGCAGCCTCAGACTTTTCAAACTAAGTTGTGGTAGCGTCAAGCTTTTATATTATTTTGTTCTAAGACGATAGGTTCCTTGTACATTGTGATATTAAATTGAATAATTGATTAATACTTAATCATTTTTAACATTATTATACTCGCATATCAATGTTCAAACATTATACAATTTATATACGAAAGAATGGTTTAGGACAGTCAAACGCCTAAACAGCAACTCGGATCGAAGTCATGTATTGAATTGTGAGCTTTATGTTATAATATTATATTTAGGTCCTCTATCGAAATTGAAATTAATTGTTATATTGTGCGATAACCGCTGGAGGTACAGGTTTTTTTTTAATTATAATTGTTTGTGGTATATTGATTACCTTAGGTTTATAATGACCATGTAAGAGAGTATGGGAATTGATTCCAGTAATAGATAAGCCATTAACGGCAGTATAAGTACGATTAAATGGTTGATGCTCAGTAACGATGCGCATGCGTCCTTCACGCAACGCCTCGACGTCTCGTCTTGGCGTTTCACAGTATAGGTTTGCCGCCAACTCGCCTCTGTGGTACCCCAGAAGAACCTAAAAGCGAATTACAAAATTGAACTAGCAGATTCGTAACGACACGTTATTAAAGATACTGGATATTTTTCTAAATGTTCTATTAAATATCTGGTAACTTGAAGAAATTAAAGAACTACTTTTTTATTAAAAAAAAGTTAGGACTCTTTTACCTTTATAACGGCAGAAATTCCAGATGCAGCTTCACCATAACCAATATTAGACATAACACTACCGACAAGTAGTTGTTTATTTCTATCGTTGCAAAATACAGCATCTATTGAATCTAACTCATTTTTATCAGCCTCGGGTAAAGCTGTAGCAGAGAATATTTTTAAAAGACAGACATTAAAAAGACTTTGATATTTTTTTGTCAATATTATAATCTATATACCTGAACCAAAAGCTTCAACGTATTCAACAGCCTTTTTTTTTTTTTTTTTTTGCGGATGGAAAATCATCTAATGACCCCTTTCGCTCTGGGTGGAGCGTAAGGGAGTGTCAGACTTTTACTGACTAAAAACCATCCGTGTTCCTTCAGTGCCCTTACGTTCCGGAGCCGCGGTATCTCTTTCGAACAGCCCGCAGCCCCGGCAGGCGTCGGCCCTTGAGGGACCCTTCACGCTGCTGACAGCTCTTTGAGGCGCGCGTGGAACAAAACGCGCCGTCGACACGGCCTGTCGTCATTAGACGGACGGACGACGAGCTACCCATTGCTCGCCGTCCACAGGCCCGCGCCTACGGTGGCCGGGGGCCACGACGTAGCCCCCGACGCCCGGGGCGTCTCCCGCGGCGGCCGGGGAGGAAAGCTGCTGCTCTCTCCTTCTCCCGCTCCGCCACCTCCTTCGCCAGCATCACTGCTTCGCAGAAGGTGGTGACGGCATCCCATTCCGTCTCGCTCCGGACCATGGCTTCGACCAGGGCCGGACGCGAGAGGTCGCCGCCGCCTATCGCCGCTACGAGGACCCGGCGGTGCTCCGCCCAAGCAGGGCACACCTCCACGGTGTGTTCCACCGTGTCCTCCGGTCCATCCTCGCAGTGGGAGCACCCGGGCGTTTCCTCCCGCCCGATTCGGTGCAGGAACCTCCCAAACACACCGTGTCCGGTGAGGACCTGCGTCAGGCGGAAGGTGAGGATGCCGTGGCGTCTCTCAAGCCACTCCTCAAAGAGGGGTCTTATCGCCGCTATAGTGGCGTGCCCAGCACGGGGTTGCGACAGTCGCTGTCTCCATGTCGCCATGAGATCGTGCCGGAAGTCTGTCCGCTGCGCGACAACTCGCCGCGGCAGCGGGGTTTCCCCACGGCATAGTGCCTCCGCACGCCATTCGTGCAGGCGCGCGAGGACTATCGCCTCCAGATCCCATGGCGGCAATCCGGCAAGGAGGCTCGCCGCCTCGCGGGAGATCGTGCGGTAGCCGCGAACCATTTTCACGGCTATCACCCTTTGGGGCGCGTTCAGGTGGTGGACGGCAAGCCGCGCCAAACCACGCGCCCACACCGGGGCCCCGTAAAGGGCCATGGACCGCACGATCCCCGCGTAGAGCCTCCGGCAGGAGGCGTTTGGCCCTCCCAGGTTCGGCAGGAGCCGCCTGAAGGCAGCCCCGGTCCGTTCCAGTTTGGGAGCCAAACGTCGAAAGTGCTCAACGAAGTTCCATCGGCCGTCGAGGACGAGTCCTAGGTACTTCAGCGTCGACTCGACGTCGATGGATACCCCTCCTACCATCACTGAGGATCCCGGTGGTGGCCTGTTCCGAGGACCATGGAAGTGCATGGCCTCGGACTTGTGCAGAGCCACCTCGAGACCCAGTTGCCGAATCCTCTCAACGACTATCGCAACCCCGCGTGTCATATTTTCCGCCGCCGCCTCGTACGACCCCCCTTGTGCCAGTACCAGCGTGTCGTCAGCGTAGCAAACAACGCTGACGCCGGTAGGGAGGTCGGCGCGCAGCACCCAGTCGTAACCGATGTTCCACAGAGGTGGCCCCAGAACCGAACCCTGTGGGACACCGCACGACATCTCTCGCCGGTTCCACTCACCGTTGCGACCGGGGTAGATGACGGCCCTGTCCGTCAAGTAGTCCCCGACTATACGACGGAGATAGGTCGGCACCCGGTGATACCGGAGTGCCTCCATAATGCAGCTCCAGGGCATGGAGTTGAAGGCGTTGGCGATGTCGAGAGACACCGCCAATACAACCCCCCCTCTGGCCACTGCATTCCCCGTCGTGAGGGCTCTCACGCGCATGATGGCGTCCACCGTAGAGCGCCTCTTGCGGAAACCAAACTGGTGTTCCGCAAGATCCGGCCCCGTCCCCGCAAGGTGCTCGGCGAGGCGGTTTGCAATGACTCTTTCAAAGAGCTTGCCCACCTCGTCGAGCAGCACCACGGGCCGGTATGCGGACGGAGAGTCCGCAGGGCGCCCCGGCTTCCGAATGAGGACCAGCTTCCCCGTCTTCCAACGAAGCGGGAATTGGCCTCTCTCCAAGCATGCGCTTAGGAGCCCCTCCAGTCGGGGCCCGAGAGCCTCCGAGGCCAGGACCCAGGCTTTGCCAGGCAAGCCATCGGGTCCTGGGGCGGTATTCCTGGCCTTGAGCCTACGTACCGCCACTCTCAGGTCTACCCCGGTCCCTTCCGGGATGTCGTCGTCGTCGTCCTGGTGGTCCGCTTCCGGCACCGCAGGTGGCGGAGCCATAGGCGGGGGCGGATGTTCCCGTCGCGCAGGGAACAGAGCGCTCACCACGTCCTCCACGAGCTGGGGCCGGAGACTTTGCGTCAGCGGGGGGGCCCAGGTGCGGAGTTTATCCCGCACCATCTTGTAGGGCGCCCCCACGGATCTCTGTTGAGAGTCTCCAGCATCTCCTCACGGGCCCGATCCCGGGCCCGCAGGACAGCCTCCCGGAGGGCGTTCTTCACCGCTCTGTATCCTTCGTACAGCTCCGCCTCAATGGCTGCCGCATTCGGTGGACGAATGCGGAGCCTGCGATGCCTGGTGTACAGGTGCCGCGCGGCGACACACGCCTCGCGCAGAGACGTCAGCTCACGCGACCACCAATACACCTGACGCCGGGCGCTTCCTGGCCGGACGCGGGGCATTGCCACGTCACATATCTCGGACATGGCCTCCTGGAACCACCCTGCCTCATCATTGACGTCGGCAGGCCTGTCCGGTGATGACACCCAGGCCTGCACGATCGAGGCTTCCAGGAACGTATTCAACAGCCTGAGGTGGAACTTTTGCTTCTTTATAAAAGTTTGTTAAAAATTCGGACAATTTCATAGGATCACGACAGAATCCAAATTTTGGACCTGTTTTGCCTTCCATAAGTCGTTGGTACTCGCACTTTACGTGTACAACATCGGCGTAGATTCTATAAAATATATTTGTAGATATTATTCGTTTTAATACGTATGATTGTACATTGAACATGGCTATAGAGATAGAAGATAGATCTTACCGCTTAGCATCCTTAGCCTTTTGGAGAAACAAAACATTAATAGCTTCAGTTTTTGCACAACCAGATGCATTTTCGTCGAAAGATTTGGTTTTTCCATCCATACTAATGGTCATGGTCCTGAAATAAAATAGTTCAGCTTTTGATATCAACAGTTGTTAGGGCTATTTTTCTGTCTCGTTGTCAATATAGGATAAAGAACCAAATCTGTCATAGGAACAAGCGGGGGGCTTAAACCGTGGCTTGGTCGTTACCGTAAACAAAGTGGAACCTTTTGGGCTGACTTGAGGGGAAGAGTAAGCCCGAGGTAGCATATATCAGAGGTAGTGAAGAAGGCTGAATATGTATTGATAGAGTACAATAGGTGCGGTATCCCTTCACAGAGCCGTCGCAGCCAAGGTGGAATTCTCTCTCTCATACGTGAACGTCGTTGTCCCTGGCCCTATGGTCTCCACCTATTGGAGTCACGGAGGTTCGTTGTGCAGGTGGGGTAGAGATCGTATATTAAGGCGCGCCTTGCCGGCACGTTTTTCCTTAAAGAAATGACGAGAAGGCGTTGTCCTTTCCCAAAAATCGTCACCAAGACGTGACCGATACTGATAGGGTCAAGTATGAGTGTTCTCGTAGCCCAGCTTATAAACAGTGAATGTGAAACACCACGATGATTTATTCGCGAGTTTAACATAAGGCATCCCTTGCCCTGGAAAGTAGGTTTGGGTAGGCATTTCTCCCATGTAAAAGTAGAACCAAACTTAACTCATTTTCCTGTCAAGCTACCTTGTAAAGTCTCTGATACCGTCGTTATATAGTCTATTACTGCAAATTGTCTCGCCATAGCAGCGGGTGATATTGATAATGGTTTCCTCGATTTTTAAGGTAATGTAATTATAATAACCTTCCAGAATGCACCGACGACTGAGGATGCAAACAAACATTTCCACCGCCAACAATGGCTGCCTCACAATCTCCACGAGTCATTGCGAGGTAAGCTAGTTCCAGAGCCATTATAGAGCTGCAGCAAGATGAGTCGATAGACATCGATGGTCCCTTGACATTCAGGCAGTAGGATATACGATTTGCGAACATTGATTTATTGCATCTGAAATCATTATATTTATACTGGATGATTTTTATACCGTCTGAAAAAAATAGGGTGTAAAAGGTGAAGAGAATAGAAGAGTTTTTTTTCTTTTATAATGTAAAAGAAAAAAATTGGCTAATATTCTTAGATCAATTTTATAATATTGTTGCGCGCCATATCTAATGCCTGGTACATGGAGGCATTAGTTACCATTATCGCCCACTAGTATCGAGTATCAGAACTAGGAGAGTCAAGATCCTTCTAGAGACTTCCATGCTAGAACTTTCTACACCTAGTCTGTTGGAACCGCTATGTACTTGAACATTCTAGACATTTCAGTGGAAGAGGCCCTATATAAGGCCGATATGGACCGCGACACGGGGGAGTATTGAATTGCGAATACTTCGACGCGATATAACTGCGAACTAATGTGATCAGTAGTACAATTGTGTTTTATTATTTATGTGTTTTAAGTTGTAATTAGTGTTCGGTAATTAAAGTGTCAATTTTAGTAATTCAATTGGCAGTTTTAGTTTATTTTCACAAACCTCAACCTCGTAACTATTTGATAATGTAACAGAAAAAATTAAAATATCTGTGCCGTAAAATTCTATTCCATTCATCTGTTACACCCAGTTTTTTGTTACAACATTTTTTTCATACATTCCTAATTTTAAAGATTAGGCAATGGCGTCTAGTTTAAACTCCTCGGTCGATGCTAACGTTTGTTCAAAACACAAATAATAATTTTCGGGTCTTATTAAGGTATGATTGATGTGTGTGTATATGACACTGAATCGTAAACTTGATCCTGATTTTTCTTCAGCAAGAAATATGTATGTTCAGCGGTGGATTTTTGATAGACTGTAACAGCTTGCAGCCTATCAAAAGTCCACTGCTGAACATAGATTGCTTCATAGCCATAGTTGCCACGCTTGGCAGGCTATTCCGTATATCCAGCCAAAAAAACCTACAACCAGGGTTGATACTCGGAATAATATACGAAATCATCGAAATTATATAAGAATTCCGGTTATTCATCTATCCACCCCAGAAGGGGTCGATAAATGAATAATAGGAATTCGTGTATTATTTTGCTTCCGATTTTCTCCCTCTGCTGTGTACAGTCATTTATAGAAATATGATACAAACCGGCCCAAGATACTTAATAAACATTATATAAACATAATAACCTATGAAAATATGTACATATTTTTTGTTTGAAAGGTTAACGTTGAATAAAACGAGTGCTAACATAATTACAGATTCATCGGTATCTTGGAATTAAACAATTTAAAATGAAGTTAAAGACAAACCATACGAGTACAAAAGCTACGTTTTTGAAATGCAATGCACTAAGAAATTTAGAAAACGAGTTTATACGTATATTAAAAGTGACAAATTTATCCAGAATATAAAATTACGTCAACTTAATAATAAAATTAGTGTTAATTATTTTTATATCCTTACGTTTGACGGCGGCGCAAGAAAATCCATCGCTCCTGGGTGTCATATGGGGCGACATTAGGAAAAGTTAGAAAGATAACATTCTGCCTAAATGTCAGATATTCTGTAAAGACTGCACAGTGTAACGTGGGGCGATATTCAAAGCAAAGGTTTTTTTTTACAGAAGAGGGGCAAACGAGCCAGCAACTTACCTCATAGTAAGTAACAACCGCCGCCCGTGAACAACTGCAACACCAGGGGAATCGCAAGAATGTTCTATTTATCATATTAAAAAAAAAATAACTTACTTACCCAACAATACCGAACCCGTTTGTAGAGTTTGTTTTGTAGCAACAAATCTTCTCAGATTCAGAAACACAAGTGCCTATGTACACTCCAACTTTCTTTCCCGAAAAATGTTCCGGGTTTACGCCTAAACAAAAATTGATAGCACAATTAATACACAGTCAACTCATGTTGTTTATCGCCCAATTCGAAACGGTCTTGGGATATTTGACAAATCTATTTATATTTCTGTGCTCCTTTATTTATAAAAATAAATTGCTCTTTTTTTGTTGAATACGAATCTCGGTAGAGCCAAAATTTGTTATTGGATTTTTCTGTCAAGAAATACTCAGCAGCAGGTTGGGATCAGGACGGCGGTATTTTCACCTCCGTGTTATCTGATCCCTTTCCGGTTGTATGGAATTACCGTCCCATCGGACTATGAGAGTAAGGAAATAGCACTCTCTATTCCCTGTGCTTGCGCATACACTTGAGCATTATAATCATATCCTGTGCAAATGGCTAGTCTCCGTTGAGTGAGGCCGAAATTCGGTCTGGAGGACATTGTCCTTGATAAGCGACAGAAATTGCGATGTGTCACCACGCAATGCAACGTACACTATACTGTTGTAGCAAACTTCAACTTATCAACACCTGTGGTGCAACTATTGTTCATCATGATGATCATCCCGCATGGTTCTGAGTCTCCTGCATCCGTCAATACAGGAAACATTTCTTAGCAGGTCGTCACCGGCACTTGGCTGCCACTCGAGAAATTTTTTTCCCCATCGGTTGTCGGTTTTTTGAGCCATATGGCCGGCCCGTTGTCAATCTAGCTTTTAAATCGGAAACAGGAACGAAGTACAATTATTGTATGTACTAGATTATTGTTGATATTATACGCATTGCACTAATACCTTGTAGCTAATTTAAAGTAAGTCCAATAAAGCATCTTTTTGTTTGAAGTTTTTACTATTTTTTCATTAATATGTTTTTTTACTAATATGATATTTATACTATTAGAAAAATATCCAATACTAGCTGCTGATGTTGCTTATGCCAGCGACAACGGGGTCGTCAAAATCGAAGATCTAAAACATCTAATGTCGAATTCTAAGAACCCGGGGGACGGGAAAACAACGTGATGCGCGAGACGATTCGAGACGTTCCAGATCTTTCATTTTTGTAAGTCAACACGAAATGCCCATCAGACTAAACAATGTTTGCTAAGACGTCATTCCTATATATGTTATAATGCCGCTGGGCTTTGGAGTTCCACAACAGGTGTTCCAGATCTTCAATATTCTATATTCTCACAGCAGAAAAAACTCTTCACGTGGAATATTTTTGCTATGACACCATTTTTATATCGCTGGTCTGTTGCGGTTCTGCATCGGGTGTTCCATTTTCCAAAATAAATTATAGCCTATTTGTTACCTAGACTTAACACCTATACAACAAAAAACTTTTCATCCCGTATATTTCACCGATCCGGTGCGGAATGCACCGGATCCCAAGGGTACACTGAATTAACAATAATATTGCAAATCATTTTTAAAAAAATTCTATATAAACTATAGCTGTACCCTTGGCTTTTCCCACGTTCTCGGTCACGCGCAAGTCGTATCTCACGCTCCTGACTGCTCTCAAGTGATCGAGCAGTCTCAGAGCAGATATTCTGAAAACAACCTCTGATCCCTCTGTGTAACCGTTTCGGATGCGCGAGACAAAGAATGACGATCCCGGTCGATAGCTAAAAGCATTTCTTGTTGTTCCACACTTTCCTGCGATCGAGAAGCAGTAGTGCGGACTCGTTTAAATTCTAGTCGTAATTGGCGCTGCGTGCTAGTTTCTGCGGACAAACTTAGTGTATTACGCTCACGGTTAGCACCTAGCCGTTGTTCACGCTCTGCGTGGGTTCGAGAGAAACTACTGCTACTACTAACTAACCTGCGCATCATAAAAACCCTTGAGTTTCGAGACAGATTTGATCTTTTTCTAAAAGGCATAGCTAAACTTCCATCTTAATCCGATACTGACGATATTCAAAACAATAAAAAGTAATCGAATAAGTACGCAAAAATTGCCAGTAAGTAGAAAAATAATAATTATTCGCAGGAAAATTAAACACATCAACCAACACAGACAACAAAGGTAACCCCCGTTTCTATAGGATGAGAGCGGCCCATCGGCGACAGCGGCACCTATAACATCACTTTTTGGGAACGAAACCATAACGCGATCTAACTCGACGCCAATGCCATCTAGTTAGTAAACGGAAACTACATATTTTTTACCCAAATGAATTAATTAAATTATGAATTAAAACTAAATTGTCGTTAATTTAATAGACAAGTACATTATTTTTGCATTAAAAAAATATGGTAACGGCAGCAAGGTACAAAACTAAGAATTACATACTTAAATCAATTACCTGCAACAAATGTGCTTGGTAATATATAACTTAGAACCAAAAGTTTGACTTGACTTCATGATAGTGTAACTTGTTGTACCACCCTTCAACCTGTTTAGTAATATTGGTGTGAAACTCTCCATACAATTAGATAGGACATATAAAGTTCTCAGATTTATTAATGCACATAAAAAGTACAAAAATTAAACAAAAATTATTTAATTATTTTAACCAATAACATCTCATTTTGTGCATTCAATTATTTTGTGCATTCAATTACGAAGAAAAACCTTTTAAAATCAATACTGCTTATCTCCTATAACATACGGCGTGATAATATGTAGCCTAAAGCCTTCCTTGGTTTACAAAGAACATTTTTGCTGAATTTCAATTCAATCTATCCAGTAGTTTTGGCGTGAAGCCGTACCATACACACAGACAAACAGACAAACAGACAAAAATTCTAAAAAGTCACTTTTTGTCATCAGTTACGTTTTTCTAACAAAAGTCACTTATTTTTTCTCGAAAATACTCAATGTACAGTTTTTCTTTCGTTACTGTTTTATTATGTGTATAGATTTCCGAACCTTAAGCTTAAACCGCTACTAGTTGGCAACAAATTAGGTTACTCATGTAGCACGTTATGTATCTTTTTCCAATAACATACGAATTGACGATGTAATTCTAAAATACGCAAATACTCAAACGCTGCTCAATTTTAAGATGCAGTTAAATCTCGTGATGTTTCTATCCCTTTTATTCGAAGTAACTGTAATACCACGAGACTTAACGTTGTAGTAAAATTGTAGTAGAGTTTGCGTGTTTGAACGTAAGACTCTAATATTTTAATTTGTATCTTTAATATTATTGATTACCCATAATACTTATCATTTAAAAAAGGCAGTTAACATACCTGCATCGTATATAGCTTGGTATGCTTGTTCAAGAACCTTGCGAGCTATCGGGTCCATTTTATTTCCTAGACGATAGTGCACCTTGAAGAACTGGGCATCAAACAGTTCCAAATCTGGTATACGACCAGCATATTGCGCGACTTCAGGGTGATTGCAATTCCACCGTGGATTCAAAGAAACAGGATTTTTCTAGACAAAATTGGGATATATTTTAAAATATCTACCGCGCTAACATAAAGCAATTAAATTCTAATATATCAACATTAAAAATATTTAAAGTAACAAACAGAATCTAGTTTTTTTTTAATATAGAATAAGGTAATAAACGAGCACACAATCCACCTGATTGTAAGTAGACGCTGTGGCTCATAAACATCTATATGTTCATCATAAGAATCAAGATGCAGATGCGTTGTCACTCCTGAGAACTGAGATGAAATGCTTCATTTCTAATTAAAATGATCTCTAGTTCTCTACACACATTATACGAAGCACAGTAGCATTAGGCTGTTATTTTACGCTGGTATTTTGGGATATCGTGTATAAAACTACTTTTACGGATTTTATCGCGTTTATTTTACTTTTATTTTTAATTCCCGACGTTTCGGGCGCTTTCCAGCACCCATGGTCACGGGGGACTAAGATGACTGTCCCGATGTCATTGTTAAACCCGGAGTACCTTCAGCTTTTTTAATTATTGTTTATGGTCCGATCTATGCATAGACCATAGGGACGTCAGTCATCTCAGTCCCCCGTGACCATGGGTGCTGGAAAGCGCCCGAAACGTCGGGAATTAAAAATAAAAGTAATTAAAAGCAAAAATAAACGCGATAAAATCCGTAAAAGTAGTTTTAATCAAGACTGGGCACTGAAAAATATTTAACCATATGCTGTTATCGTAGAGCTAAATTAGATAATGTAAAAGTGATGTAACTTCAAAACGCAAATTATTTAAAAAAAAAACAAATTCAAGGAGAGGGCCATGAAATTAGTAATTACAAACATTTAATGGTAAGTAATGTTCCTGGGTATGACCTTATATGCTTCAACGGTCCATATATCAACTCTTGCTGCCACAACAGTGCAGGACGGAATCATTCGTCTTAAAAATATCTACTAAACTACACACGCTTGTAAACACTGGCCCGTTTTTGTTACATCGCTAATTGCATGAGGCGTTATATGGAGAGTAAGTAATCTAAGGCGCCGACCCATTCGTACTACAATCATAACTGCAGTATGGCTCTACCATGTAAATTAAAATTAAAATCTAAATTCAAAGAACTAGCAAGAATAAATTATTTTCACGTCTTGTAGTCGGGGTTTTAATTTTTCTTTTAACTATATACTAACACTGACTTCAGGATATGAAATTTGTATAATCGAAAATATGCAATAACAGCTAAATGTAATACCCATTTTACTAAATATATGGCATTCCATCTTAGACCTAAGGGGTGAAAATGCATCTGCATTTTAATTACTAACCAAAGGTAGATGTAGATCTCTATAGGCCTATGCACGTAGACAGAGAAACCTATAGACAAATTGACGCCTTCTTTCGCATTAAGACACGAAAAAGATAGATTTATGCATAATTCTTGCATAAAAATGAGACAGAGCGGTGTGATTGTTTGTCCCTTTCTCCATGCCGGTTTTTTTCGTTTTGTTGACAGTTCGTAGCGATCTACGGAGTTTACAAGTTGGTTAAAGTGAGAAAAAAGTGTTTTGTGAGCTTAAAGATTGGTGAATCTTGTTCAGTTCAGTTCTTAGAACAATTAAAATTTTTATCTAAATATGTTTAAATCATAAAGATTATTTTAAAACCTAAAACTACGTTATCGTCCATTCTCACTCGAGGCCACGCTAATCATTAGTCTAGTACCCGGTTGACCGAGCTTTGCTCGGTATTTTTCGCTCGGTTTTTTTTTCAATTCGTGTGTTTTGGAAATTATATTTAGATACAAATTACATACTGATGAAATACGAATAATATTTTTTGATCTTAGCGACATAATAGAAAAAACTGAACTGGTTATTTGAATAAAAAATCATGAGTGCAATTAGTTTAATTTAAATTTTCGTGTTTTTAAAAAAATATTAAAAAAAGGGCTCGAAAAAATAGATTTTCTTTAAAAAGAAAGGAACTTTTAAGCTATTTGTAATCATTAATAAACTGTCAAAATTTACCTTCTTATTCTAACGATATTGTAGCCGTTTTTCATTGCCTAAAAACACGAACAAAAAGATAGATCTAGATCTAGATGTCTAGATATAGACAATAAATCGATCTAGAGAAGCTAGATCGATTTATTGCCCCCGAAACTCCCAGCACACAAAATTTTATGAAAATCGTTGGAGCAGTTTCCGAGATTCCGATAAAATTTTTATATATATATACAAGAATTGCTTGTTTAAAGGTATAGGATAGGTTTCTCTGTCTACGCCTATGCACTTACCATGTGGTGGACCGTGTGTCGTTTGTCAACACTATACTAGAAAAAATTAAAAGTTATATATTTTACCCTTTTTGTGGATTAAGGTATATGCTTAGATTTATTCACTCAAATAATCTAAGTGTATATGACAATCCGATTGTCGTTTAAAATCTTCATTCCCTATTTTGCCATCCTTAGGAGTGAATTTTTTCTTTATTAATTTTGATCTATCCCATAAGTATAACTATTTAATTAAAAAACGAATAATCAATATCAGTTAACTATTGGCGAAGATATTTCTTAACATCCATTTAAAAAAACTTACAGTTGAATGAGGAATCTTCTTTAATCCTTTAATCTTATCTAATCTCCTTTTTGAAATCGGCTAAAAATATATCGAGCATTGCAAGTTCCTCAAATAAAGATATTTAGCACATTCACACTTGCTATGAGTATGGATAAGTATAAAGTATAAAGAATATATGATAACGTCTCAGATGAACAACGAAATAAAGACGTAGCGCTACGTAAATTTGAAATCAACGGAAAAACCAAGCCAAAACCATGCTCAACTTACAATACAATACACTATATTGTACATCAAGTAAATACTAAAATTACAAAAATAAACAAATATTGACGAAAAAGACAATAGGCGATTTTTTAGACATCCATTATTATATAATAACTTACCTTGCTATACAAAATGTCAGCAAGATTCTTCACATGGTTGGAATCGGGAAAGAGACCTGACATCCCGGAAATAACAACTCTTTCTCCGGATTTGAGGTACTCCTCTCTCTCGTGCCGAATTACTTCTAGTTCTTGAGGTGTCGGTACCATTTTCTCTGTAATAATGGATAATATTAGTGATACACGAACTTTTCCGTGAAGGTGAAGGTAGCTCTTCAGGTGCTCGTCATCAATTTCTTAATACGCGGGGATATCGAATTCAACCCTTGCCGGTAAAAAAGAAATTTGCATTTATAAGTGCTGATCTACCATGTGCTCGGTGAAGAAGGAAATAATGAGGAATAAAATATTTAGCAGACGTATACCGTTCGCGATTACGCACTAAAGCAGGGCAAGGAGTTTATTGTACAACATGTCTTATAAATTAACATATAATAAAGCTGGGTTTCCTTCTAAATTTTTCGGGGATAGAGGCTTTTTTCGAACCAGTGTTAGAAGGAAAAATTACTTTCAATAAGTATTCTATTATGTCTTTAATGTGTAGTAGTGGATCGCAATAAAAAAATATCTACCGCTTCTTATCGTCCCGAGAGTGTCGTAAGAGGCGACAGAAACAAATGAAACAAAAAATTGGCAGCTGTCAGTACCCTCTTAATAACAGTTCCAAAGTAATTAAAAAAAACCCGCTTACCAACCGTGTCCGCTATGGCGAATATCCCCCTAACTTTGGCAAATTAGGCAATCTGTGTAGGTGACCTATGTTCAGTAATGGAAGTTTTTGTGTAATCTATATTGAATGAAAAATTTTCATTATTCATTATGTTTCGAATAGTAAAGGGTACCCAAACTCTGTTTTATTTAATGATTTCTTATATTTACGCGAACACTACACATTGATTAAAACTACTTTTACGGATTTTATCGCGTTTAATATCTGTTTTATTATTTATGAGGCATTCTATTTTAAAACTGAAGGGAAATATATATATATATATATATATATATATATATATATATATATATATATATATGTATATTTATAGGAAAAGGGTGACAATCGAGCACACAGTCCACCTGATGGGTAATAGTGGTTGCTGTGGCCTATAGACATCTACATCTATCCTCGTTTGCGAATCAAAATGCAGATGCGTTGTCAGCCCTGAGGACTGAGATGGAATGCCTCTCTTCCAGTAAAAAAGGTTTGCGGTTCTCTACACTCACCATACGAAACACAGCAGCATTAAGCTACCATTTGACGCTGGTATTGTGTGAGAGCGTGGTCCCTCCCCGGTCGAGCCGAAGGGAAATAATGCATCCGCACTTAATTTAAAAAAGGAAAGGTAAATTTATATGCATCCCTCTCTTCGGTACATGCCTCCTCCCATTTCTAAAAGGGTTTTAGGGCAAATAAGTGTTCACCGCGCTACCCCAATGTGTGTTTGCGGACTTCTCACATCTTCGAAATATTTTTTTTTTCACAGATATGCAGGTTTCCTTATAAGTTTTTTAAGAGAAATTTCCTATCCTCTAGTGGAGTAAAAAATGAGTTAATCTATGGATATTTATTTATAATCTACGTTCATTTCGTACGCCATTTTTGTGTGAATGTTATTGTATTGATTTTTGGATTTTTCAAGTGTCTTATTGGTGTTTTAGTATAGTGTTTTATTTCAAAATTGTAATCAAAGTTTTTATGTGAGTATAATTTATCTTTTTACGTAAATAATTTCGAGTAATATATAGAAATAATTGTGATTTTCACGCTGACATCCGCTTGGTTTTTTTGTTAAAACCTGACTTTTGTTAAGACCACAGGATAGAAAATTTTGTATAGATTTTATAATGCTAAACTTCTTCACAGAAAAGTTGTCTCTAAATATAAGTTTTAATGGTTTTAAGTGCTTCACTTTAAACCATTAAGGTTTAAAATGCTGTGGGTGGGTGCGGTCGAATGTGACCACTCGGGATTTGACGGACGCATGCGACTGCATGGGATTTTTATGGGGGTTGAAGGATGAATAATGTAAAGACGATTCAAGGCACAGGTATGTCTAATAATAATAACTGAGAAGATTTGAAAAAGAAAAGAGTACGCCGACTTTACGTTTTTTAAATGGTTTTTAAATTCTTAGACTAAGGTATATCACGATAGTTTTCTTCATTTCTGACAACACAAAAGATAAATTGGCAGTTAAAATTACAATTAATAATTCCGCTTCTTTGCGTTCAACATGGTTTGCGTACTATTAAAATTTTATTCATATTCCCTCACTATCTATTATCAGCAATATATTTAGGCTCAAACCCAAAGGCAGCTGAATTTGATGTAAGGCAAAATGAATAAAAAAAAAACACATCGCACATAATAAAAAATACACAAAACCGATTGAAACAATTGCTGAACCTTGGCTTCCCCCAAAGAGTGCCGCGTTTATTGCCATAGATGCCACGCTTTGCAAGCTGTTTGACGACGGCGGTATTTTAATATAGTATTTAACAATATCTAAAAATACTCACGATATACTCCTAAATTTCGTCGATAACAACACAAGAACAAATAATTGATTTTATAAAAATCTTTAAATACCACGTGTGTTTAACCTTACACATAAGCAACGCCACAGAGGCACTGCCTCTACGTTCACTAAATTCCTTTTTATATGTTACATTTTGATTAAAATATAATGCGCATAACTGTAATTAATTCCAATTGTAATATTCGTCCAAATACCAAAAAAAAGGTTTATCAATATTTAATTTACACACAATAGCTCCTCTTACATATTTAAAAAAAATTATATTAAATCAATTCAATCATCGGTCAATAGGTTCGATTATTTATTATATTAATGAAAAGCTCTGACGATTAAAAAAGATAGGCAAGACACCACGCTAAACCATGCTCAACTTCCTGACACGCACGAACTCACACGTGTTTCTTCTCTCTTCCTTTAATAGTCCGTCAATGTCCAATGGTGATAGCTCTATGTATCTAAAACAATATTTGACAAGACACCACGTTAAACTTACTCAACTTCTTTACACGCACACACTCGAACATGTTTTTTCTCTCTTCCATAAATAGCTCGTCAAGGTCCACTGCTGGTCGCATATGTATCTAAAACAATATTAGATAAGACACCACGCTAACGATGCTCAACTTCTCGACACGACCACCACACACTTTCTTCTCCCTTCCTTTAATAGCCTGCCAAGTCCAGCAGTGGCATATATAAGAACACCACACTAAACCATCTCAACTTCTCGACACGCACATACTCACATATCTTTCTTCTCCCTTTTTTTAATAGATCGTCAATGTCCACAGCTGGTCAAATATGTACATACTTAAAACAATACGAAGCATGCCTTTTTAGTTTTGTCGTTTGATTTAATAACTACACCTAGAACTTTTAGTACTTTTTTATTGTTATTCAAGGTATTCATCACTTAGTTTAATACAATAAAAATATATAATAAATAATATTCCATTTGTTTGAACCTGTTATTAAAACATTTTTTTCCGCACCAAAGTGGGGGTGTTAAATATGGCTGTTTTGAAAGCATCGACTGCATCTTCGCCAGACTGGAACCTTTGACCACGAAGATTTTTCTTAATTTTAGGATTTTATCGAGGATAGTCAAGAATTTCCACGTTTTCCTGCCTAAAATACTCAATCGTGTGACCAGTGCTGTGTGAGCTTGCGTTGTCATATTGTTGGATGATGCGTCGCTTTGGGTTAGATTTCCGAAGTTATGCTGTGATTTACTTGTGGTAAACAAACTGTGGTATACCACTCTGCATTAACCGTTATACGATGTTAAAGTGTAATCATCGCAACATGGCTGGTTTTTACAATGAACATGGCCATTTTCTTTGAAGTGCTTCGAGAGCAAGCAACTTTAGTCGGCTTGAGCTCGTCTTGGAAGACCCAGATTGTAGATTGTTGTTTAGAATCTAGATCGTAGGCATAGATGCAAGATACGTCACCACTGATGGTGTCGTAGACGTCATTTTCCTCAGTTGAATCTTTAAAGAGTTTTTTTACACCATCTGACGAGTATCGCCTTATGGTTGCCGGAAAGCAAATGAGGGATCCAACGGCAAATTAGCTTTATCACACCAAGCGCTTAATGCAAGATCTTCTGAATGGTTGTCCCTGAGATGCCTAATAACGCTTCTATCTCTCTATATGTCACATGACGATCTTCGAAAATTAGTTCTCACAGCAACGATTTTGAATTTTGGACATCCTTCATGAGATTTGTCACCATGATTGGTATGTCCATGCTAGAATTCTAAATACCAGCGTTCGACAGTTCTCTGATATGGGCCTTATTATGAAACACATAAGTTAGCTCTTTGAATCACAGAAGCCGTGTTAGACCTCTTTGAAAGTTGTAGAAAATTATTGCATGGATATTGTCTTTAGTAAGATTCATTCTCATACGTGACCTGACAGATTCAAAACAATTCTGTGACTAAACAATAGCATTAATCCTCATATTGGATCTATTTATGTGGCGTTATTTAGATTTAAGAAAAACATAAGCCATTTATTTTATCGAATTTTCGTTTTTTTTTTTTTGAAAGAATGACAAAGTTTTGTCTTTTTCAAAAGAATGTCAAAGGTTATCGAGTTAGGGGAAGTTTCCCCTCTTTAAAAAGGGATTTTTACCCATTTACAAAAATTGTTTAAATGAATCCTAGAGTGATAATAAAGCACTATAATTTTTATATAATTTTTTTTTAAATCGAATAGTGCAATAAAAATACTTTTAATCTATCGTTTTAAAGTTTCGCGTGAAAACGCTAGCCACCATGTTTTTCAACTCGTGACGTCACAGTCGTCGATTCCGCCGATTTTGCAACTACTTAAATTACGAACAATATACTTTTTAATATTTACTAATGAAATCATCTATATCTGTTGTGTCTGAATACAAAAATTCGAGCATAAGAACGTCGGGAAAGTTATGGATTAAAGTGCCAACCGATTTAAATATGAGAAATACTTGGTTAAAACTGGCATGATACCCGAAGGTATTGTCTACAAAATCTAAACTATACTTCCGTGAAGATAATTTTGATGTGAAATGATTTATATTTAACTATCGTTTAATACAAGACAAAACATAATGAGGTGAAA